GGGGGGGGTAGAACAAAATCGCCCCCCTGTGGCCCCACAGCGCCCGGCCCTGCCCAGGCCGTGGACCTCTTATGCGGCCCCAGCCGGCAGCCTTCGACGGCGCCCCCCTGCGGGCCCCGCAGCGACCCGACCCAGAATCCCGACCCGGAATCCCGACCCGCGCCCTGCTGGGCCCCGGGCCCGCCCACCGGCACGCCCTTGTCCTTGTGTATCTTCCAGATGTTCTGGAAGGCGTCGGTCATCTTGCGGTCCAGGCGGCGGTTTACGTCATCCTCCTCCCTTGATTTGGGGTGGGGTGGGGTGTGTGTGTGTTGGGGGAGATTTAGAGTTTCAGGGCTGAGAAGTTGAGTGGAGAGGGATAAGGGTGGGGTGTGGGTTGGGCGGCATAAGATGTGTGTGTGTGTGTGTGTGTGTGTCTGAGGGGGGTGGGTGTGTGGGTGGGGAGTGCTCCTCACAAGTTGTAAGGATGCCTATGTGTGTAAACGAGCCTGTGATCTTCCGTGAGTCTGTGTATTTATATCCGCCCTTGATACCCTAGTAATATACATATGACGTGCAGAATTGATACTAAACCCTGAGCCCGTTTGACCTTGGCATGAGTGTGTAAACAAACCAGGAATCCTGGTTTCTGCATGTTCGCTCACCCACTTGAAGTTCTGCAGTTTTAGGATTTAGGGATTAGGCTTCACATGTGATATTTGTACACCCCATAGGTTTCTAAGCTCTGTTGACCCTAGTACGAGTATTATATATTGGATTAGTACAAAGAATAGCGCACACGGTGTAGGTTCTACACTGCGGGCCCAATCGACCTTGGGATGACCCGGCCGCTCACCACTTGAAGTTCTGCAGGTTCTGCACCCACTCGAAGAACGAGACGGTGACGCCCCCCGCGTTGGTGTAGATGTCTGGCAGCACCACGATGCCGCGGTCACGCAGGATGGCGTCACCCTGTTGGGGGGGGTGATGTGTGTGTGTTAGTTTGTGCGTGAGAGAGTGATGTGTGTGTGTATGTGTATGTGTGTGTGTGTTAGGGGAATGCATGCACGTGTGTGACGCGTACATGCAAACCCCGTCCACACACACATACACACACTCAGACATGTGCCCACGCCCGCCCTCCCTCGCCCACCCACACCCCAAACCGCCCGCACGCAACCAGCACAAAAGGCCGCCGCGCCGCCCTCCCCCCCTCCAGCGGTCTACGGCCCGTCGGCCCCAAACCAGCCCCACACCGCCGCGATCCTCAGCGCTTCAGGGCCTCTCGGCCAAAAAACAGACAGGCACAGATGTTCGAACCGATCGCGCCCCACCTCTGGCGTCGTGGGCCCGTTGGCGGCCTCCACCACGAACTTGCACTGCAGCTGGCCCGCGTTCTGGTCGGTGATCACGCCGCCGATCGCGGCCGGCATGAGGACGTCGCAGGGCACGGTCAGCAGCTCCTGGGCCGGGATCACGCCGCCACCACCAAACTCGACAAGCGGGTGGCCTGATGGGGTTGTTGTTTCGGGCAGTTCGGGGTTTTGAGGTTTTGAGGTGTTTTGGGTTCGAGGTGTTTGGGGTTTGAGGTGTTTGGGGATTGCGGTGTTTGGGGTTGGAGGTGTTTGGGGTTGGAGGTGTTTGGGGATTGAGGTGTTTGGGGTTGGAGGTGTTTGGGGTTGGAGGGATCGGTGCGTTTTGAGGGTGGGCACACACGGCTTGGGTTGCACCCAAACTCCACCAGAGGTTGGCCTGACAAGGGTTGTTTTTGGTTTGGTTGGGTTTAGGGATCAGTGTTGTTGAAAGGTGGGGTCCGTTCGTGCATGTGGAAGGGGGGTTATTGGATTTGGAGGGCCCCAGGCGGGCGCGCGGAAGCGCGGAGCAGGGAGGGAGCAGGGGCGGCGGCTCAGGGGGGAG